GAAGTGTATGACGAATATTTAATAAAATATAAAGTGCTAGTAAAGTGAATGTTTTATTGCTAGTCTAGTACAGTAGGGGAGGTCCGCCAACAGTGGCCATAGCAAGTACAGTGGCCACCCCTTAGTATTATCAGAATATGATGCAGACTGGTTGCGCCATCTCGTATAGAGCTTGCGAATTACGAGTAATATCGACATATTTGATATGATGTTCAGTCCGTTGCTGTCTGTGGCAGTTAAATTTTTTTGTCAGTTCTTGATCGGTGAAAGTTACGTATATCAGTGCATTCCCCAGTGAATAAAATCTTCATAGGTAAGATTACTGATGTAAATTCATATTCATCATGAAATTTGATCTATTGGAACTGCATTATGAGGTGAAGATGTAGAAAAACAAACTATTATTTTGAGGTTAGATCGAAATGGTTGCGATTGGATTTTTTGGTACAGTGGTCACTTTCCGATTGGGAACAGTGGCCACTGGTTCTCAAATATAAAACAGTGGCCACTGTTCCCCTACATTCAATTTTTCATTACAGATAGTGATCATGCCTCGTCCAACACCGAAAAATCCTGGTTCAATTGGGAAAGTCCCTTCAGAAACTATGAAAAATGCACTTTGTAGTATAAGAGACCATGGACTTTCTGTGAAAACAGCTGCAATAAGATACAATATTCCTAGAACTACTCTCAGAAGATATGTTACGAAATTTCAAGAAATTGATGATTTAGCGAATGTTACTACAGGATTAACTCCAAATTATGCAGTTAACCGTATATTCTCAACTGCAGAAGAACAAGAGCTGTGTAATTATCTCCAAATTTGTGCAAAATTGCATCATGGACTAACACCTAAGAATATCCGAAAATTTGCATTTTCATTGGCAGTGGCAAACAACAAACGATTCCCGCAGTCTTGGCAAGAAAAGCAAATGGCGGGAAAATATTGGATGACCAATTATCTGAAAAGATATCCACTCTCTATTCGAAGAGCTGAAGCTACTTCTTTAGGACGTGCTATGGGTTTCAATAGACCAGTTGTTCAGAAGTTTTTTCAGAACCTCGAGCAAGTTCTTGATAAATATCATTTTAGGTCTGATAGAATATATAATGTCGATGAAACAGCTCTCACCACAGTTCAAGAGGCAGGAAAAGTGGTTGCAATGAAAGGACAGCGACAAGTTGGTCAGATAACGTCGAGTGAAAGAGGGACCCTTGTGACGATGTGTGGTGCAATTAATGCAGATGGCAATAATATACCACCTTTATTGATATTTCCGAGGAAATTCTTCAAAGACCATATGACGAAAGGAGCGCCAAATGGAACCTTAGGTGTGGCATCACCCTCAGGTTGGATGACGTCGGAAATATTCGTTCGGTGGCTGCACCATTTCATATCCTATACTCAACCAACACAAGAATTACCAGTTCTTCTCATAATGGACAACCATATCAGCCACATTTCCTACACAATAATAAAAATGGCTCGAGAAAATAATATAACTTTGCTCACATTACCTCCTCATACAAGCCATAAGCTACAGCCACTGGACAGAACAGTTTATGGTCCACTGAAATCGCACTATAACAGGGCGTGCCATAATTGGCTGATGAACCACCCTGGTCAGCGCATTACAATATATGACATTGCTGAGATTCTGGGCGAAATCTACACTACAGCATTCTCAACAAATAATTGTTCATCAGGATTCAAGGTCACGGGAATTCAGCCATACAATCCCAACATTTTCATCGATGATGATTTTATGGCAGCCCAAGTTACAGACATGCCTCTAGAACAAAGCCGTGGAGATGAAGATGCGACTTCGAGCCGAAATCCTCCTATAATTGCACCACAATTACAACATCTAGGTGATAAATTCGATCAAGAAGCGGGTCCGAGCTGTAGAAATCCACAAACTAACGATAAAAATGACAGTTCACCAATTCATCAAACCACTTTCAGCCCTGAGGCTCTGAGGCCATTCCCAAAAGTGACAAATGATAATAAGGTGAAAGGAAACAAAAGACAAACAAAATCTACAGAGATATTGACCTACACACCAAATTTCAGGGATGTCGAAGAGCAAGAGCTTCAGAAAAAATCTAGAAAACTGAAATTGGATAAATCCAAGTCCACCAAGAGAAAACTAAATAGTTCCGATACAGATATCATCACTACAAAAACACTTACTCTAGGAAATGACGAAAGTAGTCATTCTGAGTCTATTTCATCTAGTGCCGAAAGTTTGCAGCTGACTGATTCTGACGATATTGATTGGGCTGAAGAACCTGCAGATCATGATGAGGAGGTTGAAATTTCAGTTGGGAGTTTCATTTTAGTGAAATTTCTCACGAAGAAGCAAGTTAAATATTGTGTAGGTCGAGTGGAACAAATCGATAAAAAAAATGAGGAATTTATCGTCAATTTCCTACGTAAGAGACAAGAAAACAGGTTTTCATTTCCTGACGTCCCAGATCAGTCAACTATTATTATGGAGGATGTCGTGATGCTGTTACCAACTCCAATATCAACAGGAGGAACCGCCAGAGTTCAACGTTCTCATAAGTTTTCAACAGACCTGACCAGTTATAACATGTATTAGGTTCATCCACAATTGACTCACGTTGTATTGAGATATTTTGTTCAATAAATATATGTTTCTAGTGTATATTGACTTTATGGCCACTGTACCATTCGTTTCTGGCCACTGTACCAGACTAATTGGGAACAGTGGCCAAAAACCAAATATTTTTCCAAAAGCCGTCCAACTGAACATTTTGAATTTTCTTTATAAAAAATGATTATTCCGCTCTTCTAAATCTATTTTCACTTCTATTGATCCAATTCAAACACTGCAAAGATTTCTGATTTCCCAGATATCCTGATATATGAAAAAGGGTGGCCACTGTTGGCGGACCTCCCCTACAGATTTGGTGAGTGCCTGTTTTTTTGAGTATTTGGAGCTTCATTTACTGAAGCATCCATCACTGTTGCAGCCATGGGCTGTGGCTTATCATTTATACTTTTATCAATAACATCTTGGAGTGCAGCGTTTTCCTGATGTATCTCACCGACAACTTCAACTATCTGGTAACTTATTGCTGAAAAAGTGATAGATTGAAGTAATAATAAATCAACCTGAAACTTCGATTTTTTATGAGAATTATCACTCACTTTGGTTATTATACCACAAAATTTCCCCATCATCTGTCTGCATAAGTTCTTCCATTTCCAGTCCTGATTCGATCTGGGTGTTTGCAAATTTTGTTGAAATTTGGTATAAAAAATTAATCGTGTGACGAAATTTGATCTTTCTTCAATCTGATTTCATTTTTTGACAACTGTCAGCAGTCATTCCGCGTCATTCCTTGTAGTGATACGAGGTGGAAAGTAGCAACTGGAATCAGAAGAGTTGCAAATAAAACGACTCATTATAGTGATTCCGGTGGCGGAATCGGATGAATAAAACGCAGCAAATGTGCTTTCCATCTATTGCACCAATATAATTTGGTATACATTCAGGGGCGGATGGGCCGGCTGGGCACTCGGGAAATTTCCCGAAGGGCCGGTTGCTTTCGTGCCGGTTCGGTCCAAGTCAAAAAAGAATCATCTTCGATTCCTGTTGGCTGTCACCTGTGGCCGGACACGAGACCTGCCCCGCGATTTTGCTTCCAGCAATACGCTCCGGCCCGTCCACAATTCAAAAACAGCATGGGAAAACCATCTTTTATCTTCCTCTTCTCCACGTCATCTGCGCCAAGCTTACCTATCTTTCTTTCACAATAATTGATTGTTGAACGGGCCGGGGTCTAGTACAAATCCGAACGAACGCGTGAGGGAGGGAATTTTCATGCAGTTGAAATTATTATTTAACACAAAGCGGTTGTGCTGTCTCTTGGCAATTATTGTGGATTGTGGTGTTGTTTGTAGTTGCAGTATTGGTTCCAATTCCTCAGGAAAAATGGATACAAATAAAATTGGTGACAAAATGAAAATTTGTTCGAAGTCTAAACCCAAAGGAGGAGCTGAAAAGCAAAGAGAGCGGAAAAAACGTAAACTGGCTGAAGAAGCGAGAAGTTGCCACTCGCTGGAGAGTATGTTCCCCAAACCCGTGAAACCCGTTACAGAGGAACGTAATTTGTCTAGCTCAAGCGAAATTGTGACCGTGTTAGATCATTCTGAGCACTCATCCCAAACTGAAATTCCCCACCCTTCTACTAGTGCTTCTGATGTCAATCCAAACGAAAATATCACTATTGAAGCTGCGACTTCCCAAGAATTTATAGACTGTGATGCAAGCGAATATGACTTCTTCCAACGACCGGCTGATAATGAACTAATTTATTTTTTCGAAAAACATCCACAAATTCCATCAAATCAGTTCATACCTTTTAAAGTCCAAAAGGCATTTGAACGTGAAAATCATTCTCGTAGACAGTGGTTAACCTATAGTTTTACAAAAAAGGCATTATTTTGTTCCGTGTGTTTAGCCTTTGATGAACGACAGCTGAGCAGCTTTAATTCTAGTGGCATGTGTGAGTGGAGGCATGTCTATCAAAGAATAAGTGAACATGAGAAAACATCAACCCATGAAAAGTGCTGTGAAGCATATTTCATGTTCACGAAAAATAAGAGTGTCGACTAATTATTATTCAGTGAACATATTGAGAAACATTCTGAGAAAGTTATCAACAATCGCCAGATAATTGACCGAATTATAAACATTTTGAAGGTAATTGGCAGAAGATGTCTTTCATACAGAGGACATTTAAATGAAGCTGCCTATTCGTTAGACAACGAAGAGATTGACCACGGAAATTTCCTAGAAATTTTAATGTTGTTGTCAAAATACGACGTAATTTTGAAAGAACATATGAATAAAATTATCGAGCAGAGTAAAAGAATAAAGGAGAGCGGTGCCAAACAAAGAACAGGTACTTTCACAACATTTATTTCAAAGACTATCCTGAATAAAATAATTTCAATAATAACCAACATGATGAAGAAAATCATATCTTCAGAAATAAAAGAAGCGAGAATGTTCTCGATAGAAATCGATACAACTCAGGATATCACTGTGAGAAACCAATGTTCAGTTATCATAAGGTAGATTACAGATTTCCTTCATTTTCTTGAAGCCCTAAAAAAATTATTGCAGATATGTGCACAGGGGCAAAGTTCAAGAAAGACTGGTTTCAGTTGTTCCTTGTCTTGACACTACCGGCCAAGGATTCCTGGAGACTGTTCTGAAAGTGTTCGAAGAAAATGGTTTGGATCCACAAAATTGCATTGCGAACGCTACTGACGGAGCCAGTAATATGCAGGGCCAGTTTAAAGATTTTTCCACTGAAATGATTAATGAAAACGAAGAGCACGTTCATATTTGGTGTTACAGTCACGTTTTGAATCTTGTGATAGGTGACATATTGAATATTAACATTAAGGCTGCTTCACTATTTACGCTACTTAATTCTATTGCTTCATTTTCCAAAGACTCTCATAAAATAATGGATATTTTTGATCTGACTGTGAACGATCCGAAACATAAGAGATTACAAAACATCGGGGAAACTCGTTGGTGGGCTAAAGAGGCGGCTTTGAGAAAAATTTTTGGTGAATATAATAAACCAGATACTGGTTCTGGCCTTTATGTTAGTCTTCTACATGTTTTATGCAAAATAGAAAATAACGAGAAAATCAAACCAAGCGCAAGGGCCAATGCTCTGTCTCTAAAGGAGGGTTTATTAAAGTACGAAAATTTGATAACCGCTCATATATTTTTGAAGGCCGCCAGTGCTTGTTTTCCCGGGCCGGTTTACCATGTCCCATCCGCCCCTGTATACATTCCATCTTTTATAGAGCCCTTCAGATATTTGCAACAAGTCTGCTGAGCTTCGTTGTTGGGGTAACACAATAGGTGCCAACACTTTCCATAGAACATCTTACGTTTCCTTCAATATACAGTTCACTGTGGTTTTACCATTGTTATTATTCCAGGCAAGCTCCTGCATGGAACATGCCTCTGATAAATAGCTGTTAATATAACCCTTAAACGTGAGAAATTCAGAAATTTCAGGTTACACTGTGCGAACGGTCAGCTCATATAGTCGGGGCAAATGGGTCGTGGTTCATTTACTTACCATATCATGTAACTTTGTCAAAAATATAACAATTAGCATAAGAAAGATAGTTCCACCAGATAAGATTTTATTTGGACGCCATCTACAGAAAATAAAGTTCAACAAACCTCTTTCTTGAGCCAATCCCTGTAGAAAGAAATTGTCTGTGCTGAAGGATAGGAAAACAAATCAAACAAATAAAATTTAGGTTCATTTACTGACTAAAAAGGGTATTCCAAGGAGTATCAAATCTGCATCACAAACATTTATAATATGTGTCACAAATAAATTTGACTGCACCCGAAATGCAACTAGGTGTGCATATTTATTATACAGAGTGTTAAATAAACGTTCTTCTATCAGTGAAACTTGACACAATGATCATCAGCTTTGAATAAATCTAATCAATGAAATCAATGGAATATTCCCCAGATATAATGCATTACACCTTCACAGATATAGGAATATTGAATAATGACTTATCAATTGTACTAGATTCCAAATTGTACTCGATTTTAGATCATGAGGGATTTGATAATAAATGTTTCAAACGATCAGTGAAAACTTTATAATATGCAGAGAATACCTTATGTCAGCAAGACTGTGAATAAGCCAGAAAATGTTGTTTGACCAGAGCTTATTGATATTTCCAGCTTCCAAATTACATCATGGTCAATTTCATTATCATTTTGGGCTCCAGGTTTCAGATTCCATGGGCATACGAGTCTGGTGAGACGTCAGGTGACCTATAAGTATGCCTAGTCCAGCCAGTACGTTGAATTTATGACAACAAGTTGGAAATTATCTATATCTTCTTGAAATTTACATCAATAGCTTTCCAGCGTTGACAGGAACAGTAAATCGGCTCTAAAAGCCAGGACAATCTTTCCATGAAGATTGTTTCCTCAAATCATCAGAAATGCTCACTCTTTCGAGTCCATAAAAAAGCATTTATCAGCAAAATTTACATAATCTTCCAAATCCAAAAAGTGAAGATTAAAAGTACAAGCAAAATGTAAAATAAAAGTAAAATAACAGTAAAATAACAGTCTGGCAGAACTATAACATAGGAAAAATAGAAAACATGTTATAATAACGTAACCTCAAGATGATGAAAGTTCACAAATTAATTTCCATGAATATGGACCAAATTCCATAAAAATAATAATTTCTATAAATCAAAAATATTCTCAATAATTGAATAGTTACCTCTAATTAGATGTTTCTTCACGAAAAATGGTGGATGATCAGAAATTTAATTAAGCGGACATCCACCTACGAGTTCATTCATCTGGAGGCCAGATGCAGAAATGAACGATTTTCAATTTCTCTTTCTCTTTTCTAGTTGGAAATTCAAATGTCCATGTCATGAAAGTCAAAAAATCATAGTAACCAAATAGCCAGATTCGATTCAACCGTTGCAATAACCGATATCAGGTCCAAATGAATAATCAATACAAATCAATACAGATCAATAACAATAAGAAAACGCTGACGGCCTACTACCTAGACATGCTAAGGATATAGAGAAGTTTATCAACCTTGATATGTTACTGTCGCGATCCTGCTCGTTGAAGGTCTGAACGCTGAACTACTCGTTACTGCTACATGGGACAAAGGAACAAAAGAAAAAGAAGAATTAAAATTACAATTTTGTACCTCAACAACTCGTTTGACATTTCATATGAATATTTTCAAAACAAACTGAAATAATGAACGTTCATCAAGTCAACAAAACATAACATGCAATTAAAATCAATTATTCAAAGAATATACAGGATGATCTAAGATGAATGCCAGTTACTCGTAGCTCCATGAAATCTGTAACAGAAAAGCTCAAAATATCCTACAAAAGGGAATGCAATAAGTTCTCAAGATACATTCAGTGAAAACCAGAGTTGTAGGTACTAATTACTCTGAAAAGGTCAGTTGAATACTTGGTACTATCAATATTTCCTAGAAAAAGTAACATTTACTAAAAGTGGATGTTACATTAAAAAACACTGATGTATGATGAAAAACAATAATATTCATCAATAAATGTACTCACAGCAAGGTGATAGCCAACCATTGTCCAGGTTCTATGGGCAGTTTTGTTGGGTCTCTTCTAATATGAGGATTCACAAGACTCAATAGATCTCAAGGAGACATCCTCGTATATTCGAAAAAAACTGTTCCCTATCGTGAGATTTCGCATACGACAACAAATTCTGATATATATTGGACTTTTTGTTTTTAATGTTTGAAGGACGAACCTTGAAACGTCTGTTTTTTTTTATGTGAAGCTACCATTGCAGTAGTCGTCATGAGCAACACCATTGATCTCAGCAGAATATTATTTTTGTCAATCATCTTCAATTTGAAATACAAACAAAATATAGGTCGCGTGCAAGAACTGTCAGATGACCGACCCTGGAGGCAAAATGAATTACATAACCTCACGCTTCTTGTATGTTTATATCTGTCATAGATAAACTACATTGTTTTTTGGAACATTTTCACTGCATTTGAGAGATAATTCTGAAAAATGGACCTGACAACATATTGTTCAAGTTTAGATGATGTTCATCGCCAACGATATGTCGAGAAAATGTCAGTGTTGGGCATTGACCCTTATCTCTTCATGATGGAAGAATTGTCGGCAGACATTTCCATCTTTCCCCAAATTATGTATCCAGACATCGTCAACTATTTGGTTACTACAAAAAGTGCTTTCACTATGACCGAGATGAAAGCATATAAAAGCTTGGAGGCTTACAATCTAGCCATTTGTGGATGGGTGAAAAAAATATGTGTGGAACATATTAATTCTCATATTCTAGTTATTGGAAAGGTACAATAGACATATTCAGAGAAGAACATAGAACTTTTACCTATATAATTTTTCAGGTCATGCATTCACAAAGACTTAATGATAAATTATTAACTCCATGGATTATTTTTCTGGGAGATGGAACCATTCTAAGTGCTCACTGTGATTGTGTTGCTGGCTTAGGAGAGGTTTGCACTCATGTAGCTGCAGTTTTATTTTTTATTGATGATGCCATATTCGTAAACGGGAGAATGTAACAAGAACAGGTGTGAAAGCTTATTGGATGCCTCCATCAAATAAACCAGCTGAACCATGCCGTGTGTTGAACTTGAATCTTAATTGTGAATCCCAAGAAATTGAAACTCATGGAAGATGAACCTTTATACACCAGGAAGGCACCATTGGATATATCTTCCATTACAAAGGAACAGAAAGATGAGTTACTGGGAAATTCAGCAGAGGCCAAAGGGGCAGCTCTTCATTCCATTACCAAACCATTTTCTGAATCATTGTTGGATGACCTTAGATGTGAACAGCAGAAGTTCATGATCATGAACTTATATACCCAGATAGCACCAGATATTCATAGAATGTTCTGTCAGTGTTCGATTTGGAAGATATATATCCAGATATTATATAGATGTCCTGAATATATCCAGAATATCTATAGATATTTATATATTATTCCATTTCGAATATTCATCGTAGGTTCAGTTTCGTATATCCACAGATTATTCGATTGAGAATATTCTTAACGCATTGTTCTATGGATAATTCATGATTATTTATTCTGGATCAAAATCATTCCGTATCGAATATTCATTGCATGTTCGGTTTTGAATCTCCAAAAGTTATTATATTGAGAACATTTCAAATCTATCAATGATTTTTTGTTTTGGAATCGAAAATAGGTTGGTGATAATTCGTTTTTTTCTTCTGTAGGTTCATCAGTTTCGATATATTTACAGATTTGATTGAGATCATTCTATTTCAAATTTCTAATGTCTACTTTCATTATATTGAAAATATCGCAAAATTGAAGTATTTCTGGAATAATTAAAAAATGTTACAACATGAAGTCAATTTCAACACTTGCACTTGTCGAACTTCCCGTAAATATTAACCTGTCAATCTAACTCGAGGTACCGTGTACCGAGGCTAGGGTAAGGACCCTTAGATCATACAGGATCTGTATGATCTAAGTAAGGACCACACGGACCCTCGGAGAGAGGCTAAATGAAAGAGTCAAGAAGATGGCGGCGATACGACAACATTAGCGTATACACTATACACACTACACAATCCTGTTTGTAGTTCAAGAGGTTCAAGTAGGTATGAAATTTCAAGCAATAATGATTGATAATGAAGCAATCTATGTGAGGTTCTGTTATCGTAGTCGTAGGTGAGTATAATCATCTCAATTGCAACAATAGTGAAGCTTTCTTTATTGTTATAAGGTATACCTCATTGTGTTGAATTGTAAGCATCTCAGGTGCATCAACAATATAACCGATATCACCTCTCATTTCAGGAAATTGAGGGTAAGACATTCTAAGCCTCTAATATAGGTATACTCAAATAATGAATGATTTCTGGTGAAAATGGGTGTGGTGCCGTTGGTGATGAGTTATTTATGTACAATATAATGAGGATATGGTACCTACCTATTTTTATGCTGTAGGTACGAACATCACACAAAATTAAACATACTGGGACTATA